ATTGCCAATATCCTGAAACTGTAACGCGCCGCTCCAGGGTAGGCGCCATCGTGTAGGCCTGGATCACCACACGGTATCCCTTTCAAATGTCGTAAGTGTCTGCTGAGATCGAAGGTAGCCCACCACCAAATAAGGCCGTTGCCACTTGCCCACTCGTCCGGATAGGACAAGATTTGAGGACTGCTACCAAACCTTAAACCTCGCAGACACGCTGGGATCCTGGAACGGAGCTGAGCCATCCAAAAGGCTTATGAACCTTTCTGACAGTCACCGGCTACCAACTAGTCTACCCTGTTACCCTGCAGGTCACACGTGGTTGTGCATGGGTTAGAAGTGAACTGTCGAGCAAAAACCGAGGTACGCTGGGGACGTCAAATGGTAATTCATTTTCGAGTTTCATCATGGATCGTCTTACAATCTTACATCGTGTTGAGGCTACAGCGCTCCCGGAAAGCTACGCGCTCTGCGCTGTCTTAGTGGCTGGGGTGACAACTGAACAAGATGAAAACCTAAACGACCTATACACCAGCTCTAGTATCCGCATAGCTTGCCGGAATGCTAGGAACTTGCTAGACATAGGAAGCCAGTACGTCACAATGCGTTCACTGCATGACTGCAAAATAGACATCTGTTCTATGTCCTAGTTCCAACTACCTAACCGTGGCACAAACTAATCAACGTACTACATGGCAACGCAACCTAACGGTTAGACCACAGCGGTTCAACCGAAATCTTTGAAAGGAGTAGCAGCCGCTTTGAGCGGCCGGGCCAACAATGCCATGATCTCCTGGGAACCAACTTCCCGCAGGATTGCCATAGCGCGCTACAGAGGCAAGCCATTTAACCTGACTATCATCGCCATCTGTGCTCCAACGTTACATGCGGAAGAGCTCAATAAAGAATTCTTCTATAATCAAGTTCAAGGCGCAGGAAACCACAGTACCAGAGGCGACATTCTCATTATCGCAGGAGACTAGAATGCATGCACTAAGCTTTCAGATGAACATACTCGGCATGTTTTGGGAAAGTTCGGCCTTGGTCAAAGTTGGCGAAAACGAAGAACGCCTAGTCACATTTGTTGACCTTAGCCAGCTGATTGTGGTCAGCACCCTTTCCAGCGCCCCAGAAAACACCTACTTACGTGATCCTCAAACAACGTTCGAATGACTCATCAAATTGATTACATTTAGGTATATGCTCGCTGGGCCTCTTCAGTGGTGCAGAAACTGAAAACATAAACGGCATGAACCGTACTCTTGTACGAGCCCGCTTCAAGATCCACCTGACTGCTCGCCGGAAGACTTGTCTCCCAGGCAAATTCAACGTCGCTCTCTTGGAACTACCTGAGAAAAAGAAGAACCGCTCCTCACATAGCCAGAACTTCCCTTGATCGTTCAAGTGTCGACGCACAGTGGTCCACGCTGAAAAGAGAAGCGGAGTTGGGGAAGTTAGGTAAGACTCTTTACCTAGGAAGAGACTGGATCCCTGAGCGTACATACCATTTGTCCGCAAAAGCAAGAGAGGCGCAGCTGAGCAAATCTCCTGAATTCCGTATTCTTCGTCAATTGTGACACGCTCCGCAACAAGGGACAGTAAAAAATATTGGAAGGCGATTGCAGACAGCATGGAAGCTGCAAATGTCACAGCGGACTTAGTAAAGCTATTTTGTCTGATCCATGTGGCAGCAGGAAAGAAACAAGTATCGAAGCCACTGTTGTGCAACACCATGGGCTAAATTATCCAGGGAAATGAACAGAAAATGCACAGATAGGTCGAACACTTTGACGGGCTGCTCAACCGCCCATCAAACTAACCTGACTCTCCATATGTGTCAAGCAGTTCGGAGACTTACGATATCAGTTGTTACCCTCGCCCCTAGTAGGACACAAATTGCTAATCTAGCAACTTCTCTGAAAAGCAGGAAGGCCCCCGGAGAAGACACGATACCATCAGAGCTATTCCAAAACTTGCCTACCAACTTTGCTTGGTCCGCTGCACTGTCTTTTCAATACCATTTGGGAAAGAGAAGTTTTTCCAACTTTAGTTTTACTCCTGCTTCCAAAAATGGGTGACGGATGAAGATGCGAAAATTATAGGGGTGTGAGCCTCACTGATATTGCGGTACCTTTGTTTTCAGTGATGCTACTTAGTCGCTTCGAAGTTATCAGAGATACCTGCACCGGCCCAAACCAGGGTGGGTTTCGCCGCGGAAGCAGCTGTGTTGAACAACTCCTTACTCTTCGTGGGATTTTGTAACACCGCTACAAGTTCAAACAGCATACCGCAGCACGTTTCATGAACTTCGATATAGAATCCTTGGGGTACATACTGTGGGCCGACGGGATGCCCGAAGAATTCATCAGGCATTTAAATTTGTACTGCTTAGGGACCGGGAGACGCGTTCGTACCTATAAAGAAGAATCAGCTGAGTTTACCCTAAGCTCTGGAGTCAAGCAATGTTGTCCTCTATGGCTGGTGTTGTTCGATTTCACTGCAGATTGGATAACGTGACAGGCACCCGTCGACTACCCAGGTGTGCAGCTTGGTCCAGGTGCATGGATTGCATACTTTGAGTATTCGGATCATGTCATTTGTTTCATTTCTTTTTGATTTCTTTTGATTTCACTTCCTTTTAGTGAATATACAAAGATACAATTTTCAGGGGGGGGGAGCGACCAATAAAAGAGCTACCATTCAACACAAACAATGGGGAGGTAAGGCGGTGGTGGTGGGGTCGAACACACCCTGGGGTAATAATTTGGTGACGTTATCATCGAGCCGCCGCCACCAACCACCACCATCGTTGTACTTGGGGACACCACAGACAACTTCCAGCATGTTGTCAGTCGCATTAATCAGCTTGCTCGGACCATTGAGTTAGAGATCAAAACGTC